CAACATTGGCTGGGTTTTGGTGTTCTCACGGCTGAGTGTTGGAGTTCCTGTTTGGCTTAAATCCAGATCCTGGTGGTTAGTTGACGTGGTCAGTGGTCCCCTTTGTGGTGTTTCCACAACACTCCTTGACAAAGTGAAATGTGTTATAGCCGTGTTTTTCAAACTTGGCAACTTTAAGATGGGTGGACTTCACCCCCAAGAATCCCCCAGCCAGCCTGGGGAATTCCCCTGGCTGGCTGGGGAATTCTGGGAGTTGAAGTCCACACATCTTAAAGTGGCCAAGTTTGAAAAACACTGGCTTGCAGGAACAGGGCATGTGTGTTGCACAGAACCTTGGAATTGTTGTTCCTCCCAAATGAGGAAACGACAACACCCATCACCGCCAGATATTTATCAGCCACGGCTGGTAATAGGAGCCCGGCTTGTGTGGAAGCCTTTTCTAAATCATCAAACGCATTTTAAAAACTCCCTCTGCTGTGTTCTGGTGTCTATGGCAACATCCGAGCTAGGTGGGCGCAGCACAGCTGGCTGACTGGCCCTGGGTGGTATGTTTACTCACAGGTAAAGGCTTCCTTGCGTCAAGCTTTCTTGACAATGATACACAAGTCACCCGTCACTGGCTTCTTTCAAGATGTTTTTTCAACTTCCCCGTCTAGTCTTCCGGGCTGAGATTTCCTGGTGGTCTCCCATCCACAGACTGGCCCATTCTGGCCTGGCTTGGCTTAACTTTTTAAAGCTAAAATACAGCCAAAGGACCTTTGGGTTAAGCTGGTGAGTCCATGTGGGATTTCTAAGGCCAGTTCTAAGGAGTAAATGACTACTGTGCCTTACTCAAGCGGCGGATAGAAGGAAAAATGTTGGCCGAACTCGGCCTTCTGTGGTGGGAGGGAGGCATAGCGAGACACGCGTGTGGTCACGCCAGTTTTCCTAAAGCGGGGAGGGAGGGTTTTCCAACGCACCTGGAAGCCACATCTCTGGAACGGGAGGCGTCTCTTCCTCAGTCCCAGAGGTGCAGGGAAGGGCGTTCTGCGTATGCTCAGAAACACACCCACCTTGGCAGCTTTCGAAACCAGGAATGCTTTCCCCCTCCAGAGAAAGAAGTTGGGGGTTCCAATACGTGTGGGGGACTATCTCTGTTTCCCCCCAAGGGTCTCTTTTTCACACCCCGCTCCCACCCCGCTCAGTGCCAGCCGGCTCCTCGCGTGCCAGCCAGCCAGGGGAGGAGAGAGACCCTCGCCCGCCCCCCCTCCCCACAAGCAGTGCTCCCCCCATCCACGGCCACATGGGGAAGGTGGTCCCCTCTTTCCCCCATCATCTGGTTGCCTTGACGATAGCCTCCTCCCCTCCCCCACCCAGCCGCCTCCTTTTGCGGATGAGGGGGTGCTGGTTGCCGTGGCAATGGGCCCTCGAGGCCAGCCGCCACGGATTGGGAGGTGGCAGAGGGCGGGGAGGAGGAGGCCGTGGTGGGTTGCCATGGCAATCGCAAGCTAGGGAAGAGAAGCTGAAGATGCCGGGACCCATCCTGGGGAGGGGGGGGGCTGAGTGGGGACAAGCAATTTGCTAGAGGGTTCAGTCTTCCAGAACCCCTAATCTCCTCCTCCTCCTCCTCCTCCTCCTCCAGAAATCCTTCCATGCTGCAACCTTGCGTTGCTTCAAAGCCGCTTTTGTATTTAAGAGGCATCGTTGTTCTCGCGCCGTTCCTTCCCTTCCTCCCTTTCGCTTGCCTGCTGAGGAAAGGGCCCTGAAGTTTAACTGCAAAACACCTGCTTTGCATGCCCAAAGTCCCAGGAACGTTTGCATCATCGTCTCTAAATAAACACGGCGCATCAGGGAGAACCAGAGCTGCAGTGGGCGGGGCCAGGGTGCGAAGTGGGCGGGGCCGTGTCACCCCAAGGGCAAAGATTCCCGAATTCTGGAGGGAGGGACGTTGGAATTGTTTTGCTTGGCGTTTTGGACTTGGATGTCAAGATACAAAGAAAAGGCACTTCCGACAGGGATTGGGCTAGAGCTGTTGCGTCTTCCCAGCATCAAAATGGAGGGAGGGAGGGTGGCTGGACGATCCAGTTTTGGTATCCAAGGTCCACAAACGAGGGTCGGGGCCCAGAAGCCTCGGACTCGTTCTTTCCAAGAAGAAGGATCAGGTAGCAGGTAGCAGCTGAGAGGGAAAATCTTTCTCGTTGCAAGATCCTTGAATATAGAATCCTGGGTGGTGGATCAGTGAGCAGATCCTATTCCTGAATGTCTTCAGTTCTTTGCTCTGAATTGTCTCTTCAAGACTCGATCCCGTCAGAGAAGGGGGACCAAGCCACCCTCAATCTCTTCCGGGGCAGCTGAGTCCCATTTTAAACACGTCCTACGACTTTTCTCCAATGCAGGGACCACGGAGCGGGTGTGCCTCGTGCAAGGCACCGCAGAAGCCCTCAATGCTGTTCACAACTTTATTGCTGAGAAGGTTCGGGAAATCCCCCAGTCTGTGGTGAAACCCGAGTCGGTCAATATTCTGCAGCCCCAGACAACCATGAACCCCGATCGAGCCAAGCAGGTGAAGAACGGTGGATATTTAATACTGGGGGGATTTTAGGTTATGGGTGGGAATGTATGGTTTGGGGTACTTAAAAGAAAGCAGGAGACCTCTGCTTGATTAGAGCAAAGGGCAGTTTTGTTTAATTTGCCCCGGCCTCATGCTCTCCAAGTGGATCAGACCAGTGTTTTTCAAACTTGTTAATTTTAAGATGTGTGGACTTCAACTCCCAGAATTCCTCAGCCAGCCATGCTGCTTGGGGAATTCTGGGAGTTGAAGTCCACACATCTTAAAGTTGCCAAGTTTGAAAAATACTGGATTACACCATGGTTTCCATCATCCCTGGACCAGCTAAATTCAATGAATAGTGTAGCCCAACACATTTAGATTGTATCAGATTCTAACATTGCTGTAGCGTTATTATTTGAAGAAGATTTTTGCTCCTGTTACCTTACAAATCGATGGGTTCCAAATGGGTTACCAAATACTAAAAGTATAATGGTTAAGCAGATGCTTCTGAAAATATCCCCCCAAAGAAAATTATGAAGGCAATATTTCATTCAGCTTTTCCTGAGCACCTAACATTAAGACAGTGTGGTATTTTTTACCATTTTGCTGGCATAGCTAATAGTCATCTGGAAGACTCAGATTCTACGCCAGCGTTTTTCAGCCATGGCTGGCTAGGGAATTCTGGGAGTTGAAGTCCACATATCTTAAAGTTCCTAAGGTTGTGAAACACTGCTCTGTGCCATTGTGCCTATTTTGGTCTTTAATTGATGATTAAACATTGAAGGGCGCTAGAATAGGAACTGTTTTCCCTATGGCTCTCGACATTTGGAAAGGAATCTAAATTCAGGTCCTACATGTTGACTGACAAACAGACATTTTCAAAGATGAATTCCAACATTTCCTTTCTGGGAGGCCTTTAGAAAAGCTCTTCGTTTCTACTGCCTTAAAAACTTAGCCCTGTTATATTTAGCAGTGCACATTAGGGTCTGACCCTTTCCCCCACCCCCTCCCCAAATCAAACATTAAAAATGGGAAGAGAAAGTCTATCTCCTGCTTCAATCAGCCAATCCAAAAAGCACCAAACCCCCACGTGCTTTTATAAAAATGCAACTGCCCAAAGGAAGGGTCTGTATTTTTCCCATTCCAAGAGAAAGATACCCTGAAAAGCCGCGAGGTGGTCTTCTTTTGCCACCCAAGCTTCGTGTGTGCAGAAGAGGCTGGAACGCAGATCCGCATTGTCCCTTGATTGTGCCGTTGCTATGACAGCCCCAGGGAAAGCCAGCTGTGGGTTGGAAGCCGAGCACAAAGATGATGCCACATTCACACAGGAGCCAGGAACGTGGTATAGAAGGCGGTTTATATGCCGTCTGGATAGATGAGGAAACAGAGGAGGCGTTTCTTCCAGCACGGACCCATCTTTGGCTCCTGCTGGCCTGAAAAATGCCCTTCCTTTTGCAGAAGACTTGGTGACCTTCTCCCAAAATCCATAGGAAAGTGCCTTTTCCTCAGTCAGTCCAGCAGCTGGCCTCCAAACTCTCCCTCCACCCCCGCTGCCTCCAAAGGGGTCCCCCAAATCTGGAAGAGGCAAACCGCAACCGTTGGAAAAGTATTTTAAATTTAGAAACGGTCCCCACAAAGGGATGAACCAGTGAGGTAGGCACAGAGTGGGATAAGATCAAAATAAAAAATGCAAGCAGGGTAGGAAAGCGGGGAGATCCAGCTTGGCATGCCGAAACACCCCCCTCTTCCCCCCCTCCCCAATTGGCCCTTTAGCATCTCCAGGTGCGGCTGAGAAAGAAAGAGTCCACTCAGGAACAGGAGCAATTGCTCCCCCTCCTTTAAGTGGGGAGGGGGGAGACCATTCCACCAGACTGCACAAAGCATTTTAAAAGTGCAGGAAGACAGCGACCGTCTCATCGCTTTCCTTCCCATTTTGGAAATGTTGGTGGTTGAAGCCAGGCCAAGCCCTGCTTTCATATTCATCTCGGCAGCCTGAGGTTGAGGGTGGGTTCTCCCTCCCTCCCTCCCTCCCTCCCTCGGTGATGTGATCTGTGTCAGCTTGTTTGCACGGGGCCATTAATTTCTGGAAGTGCCCGCAACCTGGTTACCTCAGAGCATTTCCTTGCTCAATCTTTTACTGTTTTCTCTTGTGTGGTGGCTATATAAACGTAGATGTCAGCCCCACGAGGTAGATCAGGCTAGAAAATTAGCTCCGCAGGAAGACCAGAACTAGGCTTTATTGAGAAGGGCTATAATAACAGAAGCTTGCAAGTCTGATTGGGCTGGACCTCCCCTCCTTCTTATACCTCCGGTGAATCCGGGATGCCTGGCCACTTCTGAATATTATCTTGTTTCCTAGGGCTTGAAGAATGCTTCGGCTCCTTTTGCCTGGGAAATGGTTAAGAACATAAGCAGTACCCTTCTGGATCAGACCCCTGGTCCATCTGGGCCAGCAGCCTACTCGCACAGTGTCCCCACTAAGTCTCCCACCACTAAGAAACCCCACTAAGTCTCCCAGCAAATGGCCTTCAGAGGCAGTCCCACGGCCATCAAGGCTAGTAGCCATTGAGTTCTTGCACATTTCTCTCAAGGTCACCTCCCTTACTCTCCACACCAGTAGACTGAGCTGGGTGGGGAATCCCCATCCCATATTATCATGGAGGTACTCTATAGCCCCTTTACCCCATGATTGCCTCCTCTCCCATTTGTTCTCTTTCATCAGATTAGAGAATTTGGTCCACATCCGCTCCAATCTCCAAAGCCATCAGCATTATTGAAGAAATTCACACACACCACATACACAAAATCTAGTACAAGGCTCCACACTTTTAGTTATATCTTAATTATAACTTAATCCTGGTATAAGTTGAGTGTATTCTAACTAAAGCTGTGTATAGTCAACAGTTCTGCAGAAGCACAAAAAAAATAATCAAGCATGTTTTTATTTATTTATTTATTTATTTATTTATTTATTTATTTATTTGTCAAATTTATATGCCACCCATTTCACTGTGTGAGTGACTCTAGGCAGCTTACAGGTAAAAAGAACTATAAAGTCTTTACAAAAATATGCAAAGCTAAAAGCTAAAAAAAACCCCCATTATTCTAAATTCACCTCCCTTGGAAGCATCACCTTCAGTTATTAAAAACAGCAAAAGCAAGCTTCTAGGCCTCGTTCATAAAACTAATTTATATCTTCCCCTTCTTATTAGTAAAGGGCACATGAGTTTTCAGCTCTAAGGAGAACACTTATTTTGCTTTCCTATCCCGTGTGTTTGTGTGCGTATGAGTGCAAACACATATTTCAGTTTCTATCATGTCTAAGATGGAATGCCCACAGCCAATACATGACAGCATGTCCCTAGATTAGAAGGGCATTGAGAGACATGGGTAAACCCAGGATTGCCCTAAAATGGACCTCCTTGAGCGTCTCAATGTAAGGCGGAGGGTGCTGTCCGTGGTGCTGAAGGGAGTTTATGATGATACTTGTTCTAAATCAGATGTGCTGAGTCTCGCTGGCAAAAAGTAATATGGGATAGTTTAAAAAGGGGGGGAGAAGAGAATAAATGGATCTGCATTGTATTCTGTTTATTTATAACTTCCCACTGGCAAGACCTGGGTGAATTGGATTGCAAAGGAGTTTAGAAAACAGTAGAACGCTAGGAAAGGCAAAAAACACTGCCTGCTGGAAGTGAAATATTTTAAAGCTTTTACTAGCTGCTCTCTCTTCTGTCAATAATACAACTCTATAATGCAGGCTTAAATCTGGGTGCCATTTTAAGGTGGAAGGTAAGGTTCCCCAGGATTCTCGCAGAGAGGCTTTCCCCATCTGAGAGTTATCTTTAATGCACTGGGTTACAGATCTGAGAATCCACAGCCAAACCCTAAACCTGGACCAATAGAACACAGTTGCTATGTTCACCTGATATGAAATTGTAATAATGATTAATAGGATAGTCTGATTCCCACAACATGCCAGTCCAGAAACTACCCAGTCCCATTTTGGCCTAGTTTAGCGTGTTGCACCATCCAGCCATGATGTAGAGCAGGGGCCTATAAAAGGAGACTCATGTAAATAGAAATCAAACTGTGAAATAAATGCTGTTCCTCTCATTTCCCAAAATGCAGGCCAAGGTGATTGTTCCAAACAGCACAGCTGGGCTGATTATTGGCAAAGGGGGTGCCACCGTCAAAGCCATCATGGAGCAGTCTGGCGCTTGGGTACAGCTGAGCCAGAAACCTGAAGGTATCAACCTCCAAGAGCGCGTGGTGACCATCAGCGGTGAACCCGAACAGATCCACAAAGCCGTCGACATCATTGTCCAGAAGATCCAGGAGGATCCGCAAAGCAGCAGCTGCCTCAACATTAGCTATGCCAACATTACAGGCCCTGTGGCCAACTCTAACCCAACTGGATCGCCCTATGCCAACTCCACAGACGTTCTACCAGCTGCCGCCGCCGCTGCCACCGCTTCAGGCCTGCTGGGCCACACCAGCCTTGCTGGAGTTGGAGCCTTCCCAGCTGCCCTGCCTGGTTTCTCCGGCAGTGACCTCTTGGCCATCAGCACAGCTCTCAACACCTTAGCGAGTTATGGATACAACACCAATTCTTTGGGGCTCGGCCTCAATTCCGCTGCCGCCTCTGGGGTGCTGGCAGCTGTTGCTGCCGGGGCAAATCCAGCGGCGGCTGCTGCTGCTAACCTCTTAGCTTCGTACGCCAATGAAGCTTCTACTAGTACCCCTGCCCCAGCTGGAGCAGTTGGCGCCTTCACCTTGGGCTCTTTAGCTGCAGCCACTGGGGCAGCCAACGGCTACTTAGGGACAGCCTCCCCGTTGGTGGCTAGCTCTTTCCTAGCCACCGAGAAGCTCGTGGAAAGCGCCAAAGATATGGTGGAAATTGCAGTGCCGGAAAACCTAGTGGGTGCCATTTTGGGGAAAGGCGGCAAGACGTTGGTTGAGTATCAAGAGCTGACAGGGGCCCGCATCCAGATTTCCAAAAAGGGGGAGTTTATTCCAGGTACCAGGAACCGTAAAGTCACCATCACTGGCACGCCAGCTGCCACACAAGCCGCGCAGTATCTAATCAGCCAGCGAGTAACATATGAGCAAGGAGTCCGAGCTACCAACCCACAGAAAGTGGGATAAGCGAAGGCTGAAGAGAAGGCTGGGGGAAGAGTAGATTCAAATCAGTCCTTTAATCATTAAAATTGTAACCTCCATGACACCGGCCCCTGCCCAGTGTCCATCTCTCTGTCACACACACACACACACACAAACACACACACAGACACCCCTCTGGTTGGGAAACAGCCCAGCATATGTTCTGCCGGAACTTTATTTCACCAATGGTGTGGCCTGATTGTGTATATATATCTATATATATATGGCAACGTTTTCTTTTCTTTTTTTTTTTCAGTTGATGGATTTTAATAGAAAAAAAAATTTTTTTAAGAAAACAGTCCTCTTCTTTCTTTCCCTCTTTCTTTCTGATTTCCTTAACAAACCCGGATGGAGAAAGGACCGCCTCTTAAAGTTTCTTTCCTCTCTCCTGAGAGTGTAGATCAACTTCAGAATTTCTTGGTGGGTTATGTATGCCCTTCTTCATGTCCACCCAGAGCCTTTATCACGGGTAGATGATCAGATTGGGTTTTGAAATACAATGGGGAAGGAAATAGATCTGGACTGAAATCATGGCATGATTCCTGTGGTGACATATTCTACTTATCTCTTGTAGTGAAACAAGGCATTGGGTTTGTACTTATAAGTAGTATAGCTCATTATAAATTAAGATGAGGTTGAAGGAGGAGAGATTGGACTAGACTGACTCCGAAATGGGGAAATGACCTTGTTCAGTTGGCTTAAAAAAAAAACAATTATTATTTAATGCTTATTATTATTATTATTATTATTATTAGGGGAGATATGTGTTCCTTTTCTCCATTTCCCAGCCCTGGTAATCAAAAGAAATAAAATGAGGTACTTAGATAAAAGGTTTGCAGATAAGACCTGTTTCCTGTGTTATACTGAAGGAGGCATTTGAACCAGGGGCAGAGAACTGGATCCATGTATCGACACAGAGAACTTTTGTGATAGGTGTGTCCTGACTTGCTGGGAATCTGGCCCAGAGTTTGTGTGGTCACTCTTCCTATGTTTTGGGATGAGTTTCCAGCATTGCAAAGAAACGTCAAGCCTCCTGAGACACTACACATGCCCAGGAAGGAGGTGATAGGGTACTTCTTGTGTGACTGAAGTCAGATTCCTGTCACAGTCTTTGGCTTCAAGGTGTGGAGACCTCCTTCCTGTGGTCCATCAACTATTTTTGGTGTCTTCCTTCCCAGATTAGCTGCATCCCCTCTGCTCTCACATCCCACTGTGTTTTGATCGCAGGAAGAAAGTTCTTCATTTATTTTTCAGTGGGTGCCCTCTGAACCTTAAAGGCCAAAAGAAACAGCCAAATCGACCCCAGATTTTAGCTGCAAGTCCCAACTCTTAGTAACATCCAGTGGCAAACCTGGAAGGACCAACTTGGCAATGAATGCTCCTGTTTTCCCAGGGGCCCAGTCAGGTGCACCCCGTGAACGACCGGAAGTTGCGCCACAACTTCCTTCAGTCCCGTTCACAAAGCCAAATCCAGGCGCTCTCTCCTGCCATTATCAGTATTATGGGCAGTTGAGCTTCTCTCCAAGCCCCTGACCAACTGCATTTTTTTTCTGGCTTTCTTTCTCTCTGTCTTTTCACCCTCTAGTATAAACCAGCAGTATTACTAACCCACCGTGGTGAGATGGCCTTTACTCCTTCCCTGCCACCTTCACTCATGAACGTTCCCAGTGAGGGTGTTCTGGTCATCGTGTAGTCCTTTTTGAAGAGTATAGTTTGATCAGGGCTTCCTGTTCCCAGTGTAAACGTGGCGCCATTTGGGCAGCCCTGAAGGCTCTATGAAGAGGCAGGTCCTACCACCCAAGGGGTGGCCTTCCATTTGGTAGTCAAAGCACAGGACTCTGCGTCTCTCTCTGTCCCGTCTTTTCTTCTCTCTGTGTTGTTAGCTGTTGCGGGATGACTGCTGTGTTACCTCCTCCTCTCCTTCTTCCACCCTTAAGAGGGTGACATGGGTGAATAAATAAATAAATAAATAAATAAATAAAGACAGGGTGTCTCCCTGCAATGTTTACATATTGGGCTTGCAACTTTCTCTACATCGTAGAGAACTCGCGAGCTTGCCTGCTTTTGAAGGTTGCCCGCATTTTAACAGGAGGCTCAGCTGTTGCCTCTTGACTGTGCTGTGTCCCTCCAAGGATTATTAGAGTCCAGAGCTGGCCAGAAGGCTGAACAAATCAACAGCATTACAGTGCAGAGTCAAGCCTTGGTCGGTGGTAGCTTGCTCTTTCTTTGTTTCTTATCATGATGGCGATGGTTATTAAGAAGTTGCTGGAAAGCTAGCTTGAGCGGGGACCTCACGTTGTTGGCTTTTCTGGTGGGGTGACATTTCCTGTTTCATCGTTCTGTAAGGGGCCTCAGATGTGAAGTAAAAGTCTACCTCTTCACCCAACATCCCACCAAGGTGTACCAGACAGTCTCTGGTAGCGTAATATAGTATTTCTTGTTGGGTCACACGTGTTCCTGTGTGCACCCTTGCAGCCCTTTGGGCCAGTACAAGATAGGGTGAAGTTGCTGGTGGATGTCTTCACAGGCATTGTGTTTGTTTAGACAGGCTTGTCTGAAATTAAATGGAGTTGGTGATGTGATATTTCTTGACAGTAGCTAAGCTTGGGGGAGAAATCCCATTTGGAAGAGCCCAAATGCTCCAAGGAGAGAAGTTGCTGGCTGATGCAGTCGGTGTTCTTCTCAAGACGTGAGACCTGAAGAAGCTGGAAAAGTAACTGAGAGAGAAGGTCTCCACCCAACTGCTTCTCTTGATGGCTTTGCAATGCCCTTGTCCCTCCCTTCGGCACAGATTTTTCTATGCTGCATAAACCCTCTTCCCCCCTTCCACTCTTCAGCACTGAGTTGTGGACTTCTGCAATATCTTAATGACTCTCAAATGGAAACAGTTCCTTTCAGACTCTCTCTGAAGCATCAGGTGGAGGTCTGGGTCTGCAGGGCAAAAACTTAGCACATTGTCCATCTTTTTCTAAGCTCTTACAAGAGCTTGATCAACCGACAGGCTCACTTAGGCCATTGCTCTGGTTGGGGGTGGTGGGGGCTGGGATGTATAATGGGTGGGGAATTAATCTCTTCTTAGATAGTAGCATGCGTCTGTTTTCCTTCTTAGGCTGAAGGGAGGGTCTTAAGACTCTAAAAACCACTAGAGAACAAAACTCAAATGTGAAACTTATATACTATTAATGTGTGTTTTTTTTTAAGGAAGCAATATCTATATAGCATCTTGCACTGATTTTATGGAGTAAGAATTACTGCAATCAGCATTTTATCTACAAAGGTTTGCAGTTAGTGACATCTTGCAGGCAGTTAAAAGCCCGCATGAACACTGGCTGAGATTCTGGATCTCCCTTTTTTTTAAAAAAAAAAAATAATGAACAAACTCTTATTGCAGTTTTGCAGGTGCATTGCATATCATGCTTTCCTTCGGGTTGGGGTCGGGGAGAGGGGAGAAGGAAAACACAGAAAAGATTTTGTGCCAAACCGTCTGCGTCTTTTTAAATAAGGTCAGTATTTAAGGCAAAAGGAGACGTTCCCCTTGTCTCCTTCTCCCCTCTGTAAAAAATCCTGCAGATATTTTGACAGGATCTTCCAAGGCTGTGGCCTCTGCTCCTTCTTGTTTCCCCCCACCCGTCCTTCTCCCTTTGCAGCTTGTCCACAGGGCTGGGCGCATTTCGGTGTCCAAATTCTGTGGCAAGGAAACAAGGATTCTGCAATAAGGAGAATGGCATTCTGCATCTTAATTAGCTCATGAGCCCCATTTGCCTAATTTCTCTCGTTTTGTGTATTTCGGCAAAACTGATTGTGGTCAAAGGGAGGAGCGGCAAGGATTCACCCCTTAAACCCCTTTGTTCAGCTACCTGGTCTCTTAGGTGACTTTCAAGCAGATTTTTGACACGCCATGTCTGAAAGTTGCTTCCTCCTTTGCAATTTCATGGCAGAAAAAACAATTCCATAGTGGAATTTCTGCTCCTTCCCCAGGCTTTTCGGGTAGGATGGGCTCCAAAACAGAAAATAGATCAAGTCCTTTAGAATTCTAGTTTTATTTTTCTATTATATTAGTGCAGTCTTTCTCAACCTCAGCCACTTTAAGATGTGTGGATTTCAACTCCCAGAATTCCCCAGCCAGCTAAGCTGGCTGGGGAATTCTGGGAGTTGAAGTCCACACATCTTAAAGAGGCCGAGGTTGAGAAACACTGAATTAATGGATTTAAAGGGGAGTATTTTCTTCCTATGCCCTATGATTGGGTGGTAGAGCACTTCTGAAGGTGATTTAACACCTGTTTCTCCATCCCGCCTCCCCACTGTTGGCACTTTGGATCGCAAAAACATCTTCCCCAACATGTTTTATTTCTTCCTTTTCTGGCACCAGCATGAGCTAAGATCCCTGGCTCTTTGTTGTGTGCCCAGACTTGAAGCCTTGCATTTCATCGGGGGGCAAAATATCCCTTTAATCTCTATGACCAAATGGCCCGGCTTATTTTTTTAAAAAATCTGGGCTTTGGAAAACAGAGCCCGGAACGTTAAAAGCGTGCATCTTTTCTGAGCTTTTGGGAAAAGTTGCCTACTAGATCAGTTCAGTGATGGAGTGCCAATTTCATTCTGTATGACCCTCGGTTTAAAGAATCCAGACAGTCACTTTTCTCTCCTTTCCTCTCCAAGGAAGTAGGAATGGCACCTTTGAAGGCCTGAGTCTCCGTACCCACCAGAATCATTTTGGCCCACCAAATTTGCCCCTTGCTGAGAGGGTTTAAGTCAGTGTTGTCCAAACTTGGCCACTTTAAGATGAGTGGACTTCAACTCCCAGAATTGGAGTTGGCTGGCTGGGTGGCTGGCTGGGGGGTGGCTGGCTGGGGAATTCTGGGAGTTGAAGTCCACTCATCT